TGAGTTGTCGCTTGTGGCGAGGTGCTTCAGGATCCGAACGTCACGCACTCATTGTTCGTAGCTCGTTGACATCAGATCGAGACAGGACGGGTTGGAGCGTGTTGTTATAGGTGCTGGCTGGCATTTGTGTTGAGACGCACCAATTTCAAGTACCAAATCCACCAACTTTGCTTTGACCTCATCATGTCTATTAACCAAATGTACATCAGGCCATGGTATTCGAGGACAGTTAAAAGCGCCCATAAGTAGAAAATATGGACGACTCATGTAGGTTCGAAGAAGGGCTCAGCCAATGCATGTAACGGCTCAGGGAGATGCAATGGACTGCGCCCACAAGAAGTCCTCCGCGCCTGAGGCGGATGGAGCACCACAATAGCTCACACAGACCATCGTCACTTCGGTAGGTGCTCACAAGTCTCCCACACATAGAAGACCGGATGTGGAGCAAGACACCACCCCGGACATTCGTTAGTCTATCGCAGCGGAAGTACAAGTAACCGCTGAGTTCAATTTCCTGCGTGTATAATTCTGAATGCAGCCATGTCTCTGCGAGTTCCACTTCGTCTGGCCGCTTAAACTGTGTATCGGCGTACTGCCGATGACTATTTTTCCTTTTTATTGGCGGTTACGTAAGGACAGCATTGGCTAAATGTGCGTCAAGTTTAATTGCTGATGCCCCAATAATGCTGGTGTGAAAGACACGTAAACTGGGTGTAAAAGTTTTATTCCAAAATTGTGGTTGTTTTAAACAAATGTGAACAGTGGGCAACCTGGTGCCTGTCCACAATGAATGGCAATACGTTCTTCACCAACTCGACCAAATACACATGGTAGAACCACAAGAACTCGTGATCATCCAACTCGGTCTTCGCTGGACAAACCTTGATGTAGTCCGCGAAGAATAAAAGCTTCGTGTTGATAACTCTGACTACAACAGGCTAGGCTAAGCACCGAACTTTGCAGTATGCCACACTTGACTCGAACTAGACCGTAGGCAGCAGATTTGCAGTATTCGCCTATATACCTCTTATGTCAGAGTACCTCTTGAGCTGCATAATAGAAGTGCACCTGAGCCGTCAAACGCGGGCAGGAATCGCAGCTGGATCCGGCCTCTTTACATAATTATAACAGGCAGCGATACGAATGTTTTCTGACTCCCTACTGGATAATTTGCCTGTTAGTTTCATGTTAGTTAGTTTCATGTGCGTTACCATTTGAGAGGTGATTCCAAGCAATAAAATCAGAGTGTGTAGGTTTGGGATTATGTCGTCATTTCGTGCATTATCGACAGTTACACATGTTTAACCAGTGATAGATAGAAGAGGGGTGTTGTTTTGCAAGATCGGTTTGCAGCCAACTGGGGCCGACTGGTGCATTTTCTGCTAGCACTGCAGGTTTAATCTCAGTGTAAGCTGAGTTTGCAGAGCTACTGGCGCGCTGGATTGATGGCGGTGCTCTTCGACCAATCACACATGACAATATCCCTCTTTCGCCCATCATTGGTTGCATGTATGTGAGTGATGAAGATGTGCGAGATAACAGTGACATTTCAGTTTTCCGTACTTGGACGGGAACTTTTTAAAAGAAGCACCTCTAGTGAGGTCTTCACACTTCCAATATAAGTTTGCCGCTTTAATGTTGAAAAGTTGTTACGTTGAGAGTCATGGTGTATGCACACATTCACATCTTGGAACACAACCAAGGAAGGATATCGTACAAGCCGTTGAAGTGCGCGAATGCTAAAACCATTGCAAGTTAACCGATGCCCAGTCACTGTGTGTTTGTGAGCTAGAATTTATTCCTACGTTTTATATACTCATGAGCAAGAAATTTTGGATATCATCACTTGAAGGATCCCGGCAGCAGTTTCTGCACATTCATAACCTGTAAGACAGTGGAGGATGAACCGCGCTCTATCGCAGTTAGATATCAGTCATGGCGGTCTATCGCTTTCCTGGATGTGTGGTGGCTGTCTGTCTGTGTCTAACTGCGACGAATCTACACAAAAACTGCATAAATCCCCCTACTACTTACAAATAATCAGTTTCTTTCATGTAACGGTCCGCCGCCGTCCCCCATGGCTCAGCGGCGTATGTTGCTGAATGTTAACACAATCCAGATAGAGCCGAAGAATGGGCACAACTGGTGAGTTTAGTGCTTTTCTGGACGCGATGAGTACTATCTGACTTGGAAGCTGCTCCGATGAACTCTCAATTAGGTTGCCAAGTGGTCCTCCTCCCCGTGTTCTCAAAGGTAATAGACTCGATCATAGCAAGGCGGAGTGCGAATAATCGGATTCCGCAACTAAACCGCTCGTGCAACCATATTTTTCCGTCGAATACTTTGAACGCTTTTGGGGCTTACAACTGAGTGTTAAGGTTAAATTGTACTTTGCTTCATTACAAAGGAAAAGGTTCAATTCAACTAAGGAAAGTAGCGGCAACCAAATAATTGTTTTCATGATTTTGATGTAAAAGATGGCTTTCGCTTGCTCAAGGAAACCCATCGGGAGTTATAACTCTGCATTTTGGGTCACTACACATCCTTAACTGACGCTGTATGCAGTCTGATTCGATCTCGTAGGTGTAATCTGTACGGCTGTTTCGCAACCGTGCGGCGACAGAGATCTTACTATTTAGGCAGAATATGTATGAATGTTCAGTGATAAGGTATGAAAACTAATTATCCCATGCAGAGGTTTCGGGCTATGGTTTTAGTACTTACACACAGCGGGGATGAGTCACCGCCACCTTGCAACCATACGAATGTAATTAAACATCGCTGAGATAAATTCTTTGTGACTCTCACTACACTACTTCCACGTCAATAGTTCCTCCAAGATAATAGCACAGACACACTCTAAACAGGCACTCTTTTCGAGGGCGGTCAGTAAACACGCCATTAGTGTCGGCCGTAAATCACGTTCTGTAAAGTGCCGGGGTAGGTAAAAGACTAATAATAATAACGTGTCAGCTGTACGCCGTAATGGCGCTTCGCTGGCGTGCGACCACCACCAGTCACTCGCGTGCTGAGTTTACCGCGAGGACGCCCACTCCTACGCGGATTCCAACCCTCGCCGCAAGGTTACGAGACAAGCTCAATATCTCTAGGCTACTGGCCGGTTTCGCCACAAAGGTGGACCATCGACGCTTCGTTTAGCGACCAGATATTTCATTTCCTACTGTATGTATACAACTGCCACTGCGAGCCTCACATGCATTTAGTGGCGATCAATGAGATGGTCTATTTTCCCGTGTCAAGCAAACAATTTATTTGATCTTCTCTTGATCTATGGAATGGCACCCAGTACTTCCCACTCGAGGTGATGATGCGTTGCAGAATGCGGTAGCCATTGATCTGAAAGTGCTTGAGATTTTAAATCAACGGAATCGATTCAAGCTGTCGTAGAGTAGAACGACACTCGCCAAGGCCTCATTTACATGAACGAATGCACGAGGGGTTCAAGACTGTTGTTAACTTTTTCACCGCTTCATAAAATCTTTCTAGTATCTCCAGTATTTGGGTTAGTTTCGACGGTGAAGTCCGTCGCTCCAAATGCATTTCCCACTAGGTATGAACGGATCGCTCATCGTTAGTTTCTCGTCTTCAAGCGTCAAGGTGACAGTCTCTTACAGAGCAGAAGCCAACGAATGAGAACACTCCAGAGACTATTTCTAAGGTTGACTGTACCGCATGGCGATTGTTATCCGCCCAATCGACGTCAATCCTTTTCTCCATTGACACAACGAGGGTTAACAGGGAAATACGGTGTCTTGTGGCCCCCCAACTGCTCCAACCCCTATCGGTAACGAGAACAGCGAGATGAGAAAGGATGAGGCTCTTCACATCAGAACATAGGGCTGTTACCTAGCGAACGAGCAATAGTTAAGACTAACCAAAGCACTGGAAACACCGGACTGAGTTAAGCAATAGCGGCGCAGTCACTTAAAGCACCAATCAGATGCACTTAATAACAGGTAATTAGTGGTGTAAAACTCAGTGGCTAGAAAGTGTGGTAAGCCACTAGAAACAATGACTGTTAACGGCAAATAAGACCGCAAACGTGGTGCTTTACAACAAACATCAAGGGATGCATGCGACCTAAATGAAAGCATACAGTTACGAACTGTCACTTATAATGCATCTCAACTTGGCGTTACTTCTAACACTTGTTGACGATAAAGGTAACTACAAATGGGGAGATGGGTCAATCAAGGTGAATGCCGCTCATCGAAAGAGCAGCACAAAGACCCTAACCAGGTATGCAATGTTAAAGTTTTCTTGGGAAAATCTTCCGGAACAAGTGTGTCGGACAGAGTGAAGCCATCGATTGATGTTAAACTTTGAAAATGCCTAATTTGGCCATAGTCGCGTGTAGTACATAAACGATTGTACTGAAAGGTTACCCTTGGTTTCCTTACAATTACATACCCACCACATCGGAAGCTTCGGCTTACCGCTACAATTCTGTTACGCCGGAAAAACTGTATCTCTGGTGAGACATGCGAACTAATGTTCCAGGCATACTGGCCAGTGATCTAAGTAGGTCCCTACCAGGTGGAACAAAAAGCATTAAAAATAGCTTCAAAAACGCCACTTAAAATTGGCTTAGCATAAGTAGTTAGTGACTCTAGTGTAAATGTATGCAAGCGAGAAGACGAACTACTTTGGGTATACTCAAGGGTAGGAGCATGAAAATTTCCTTTGACGGATATTACCTGCTAGTTTCTGAGTTGCAGGTTGTAGAGAATGGACGTTTTAAACATTAGTATTGGTAAATGCAAGTTGCTTTTTGGCTATGTACAGAGTGTCCGACATTTTATCGACATCTCTGATCTGATAATCTATCAAAATTACAGTTGTGTCACCATGGGACGGCATAGTTCGTTGCAAACTTAGTGCCGTCTTGCAGGTTGGCATTCGTTTAGTTAAGTTGTTTCTGTGTATTTAAACAATTACCAGGGACAGTTGTTCTGTTTCTCCTCTTACACTTTGAGCAGAAAATGCACAGAGAAGAAATAGAGGAATTAAAAGCCTCAGCAATGAAGGCGGCTCCAATAGCCGTGCTTCCACCTCTTCCTATATCGACCAAGGAGGCAGATGAATTGCGGGAAGTGCTCAAACAGCGAGATCACGAAATACGTATCCTTTTGACTTTGTGGATTCATAATTTGCCACGATTCATGCTAGCGTTGTCCAACTGTGTTTGATGAACTAGCAAGTTAGATATTAACATACCCACAGATGTGTGTGTTTCCACTTTTCAGCGGAACCATATTCATTTGGATAAATCGGAAATTGTACCTCAGGTGTTTGCCCACTAATGTTACCCAATCGTGGTGAACGCTCGTTGGCAGGACCCGGGGTTGTCACTTAACATGGTTTCTATTTCCTGTGAAATAAATGTCCGCAACAGCAGCAGTGATGCTTTGCATAACAAAGATTAAAAGGCGTCACCGATTTGTCGGTTTTAATTGGCTAGGCATCAATATGAAAGGTAACGAACGGACGGAATGAATAAAGCTTGGTTGATATATTTCCTGCTTCCAACTTGTTCGGCGTATCTTGTCTTTTCCACTTGTTAGTTCAGAAGGCAAGTAGTAGGATTGTTTCACTTAACACTTAGATCCAGCAATCTAGTACGCTGCAGCCTATCCATCTACAGTCGTGCGTATCTTACCTTCAGGGTCAGAAATATGCGTAGCAATTGCTAACCATGGACCCCAAACACTCAGGTTGGGGACGTGTGTCAAGCCGGAACCCAGATGATGGTTCGCTAGATGTCTTTATTGGTACGTGGCAATTTAAATGGTAGCACTTTATGACTCTCGTGACCAGTACGCTGGAAGCTACACTTGCGATTCTAGCTTGGGGCGTTACAAAAAAGGAATATGTGAGAATCGAAGAATCGGTGAGCTGAGCGCGGGAAGATAAGATAGCGGTCCCAAGTATGGGATCAATGACTAGATAATATTTTGGAATCGGCTGCACACCGAACTTATCAGCCCACTTTCAGAAATAGAAGGCAGGTTCAACCCAGTAGAGTGAGGTAATTGACAGCACAGAAACCGAGACTTCATGAATCTTGGAGATGCTGACGAAGCAGCGGCCAAAATAACTGGGCGAAATGCCCTTTTGACGCGGTACTCTGAAAAGCTACTTTGTAGTCGCTACTTACAATTATCAGACGACAGTTCACTAGGTGTCGTTGACGGTCCGTAGTTATGGCACTACACCGAATGCAGAGTGACTGGGAGACAACAGCCCCATGTGACTGCTCTTGTGAAACTGTCAGCTGTTCGATTCGAGCTTCAAAATTCACAGAAACCCCGTTTATGCGAGCAGAAAACTAAGTCATTTGTTTTCATTGACGACAAGCCCATGGCCTTGCAGATAGATCACTGCTACTTTTGATAAAACAAAAGCAGCTGCGCGTCGAACCTAGCATATATAATGAGAGGTTTATAAAAGCGTTTTTACTTAAGGAATTGCGTAACTGAATCCACAGGATGAAGTTTCTTCGTGAACCGTTACGATTCGAACGGTGCAGAGGCTTTAATGACTTGGTGATATAAACCTTTGTTGCGATGCGCTGTGGAAACCACTTACTAATTGTTGCCTATAATCATGGAATTAAGCGTGCGGGAATCTGGTTCGTCTTCTCGTTGACTTGCTTTGCAGAGCTGTAACTCAAGGCCTTATGAGAGGGGCTCAGTTGATATGCATCTGCCGCCGCGTTGGTTCTGAACTAGCCTCTGTCCTTTGGAACCATCTCGCATGTGTGCATACCTACTGTAACACGGTATCCTTGCACTGGTCTTCTAAACTGTATTTCAGGTTTGGTAGATTGGGTGAAGCACACTAGACACCATCTGCATTAAGCATGCGACTTTCAACATTAGGACAATCTTGTTTGAAATCCGTACCATCCTTCAACGCCAGCTACTGATGTATAGAAACTACACTAATTTACCGAAGACTTTCTGTAAAACGTCTTTAACTGCCCACTGATATTGGGACCCACGGGACAATCATACCAACCTCTGCGTGATATTTTGTCTATAATTTGTTGCAAAGTTAATACGACAGGAAGCCACAAGCCCAATCCATTCCCCGAACATACTTAACACAAGGTTTTCACTTTCGTAAGCATTCTATACCACAAGGTTGAACAGACAGCGGCCGTCACTTACTGACAATCAGGACACTCATATGTGAACCTTGTATTGAGACTGAATCATATGCTTAATAGTTATATATTCTGCTCGTTCCTATTACACCTTATGGGTCCTTCGCTTTTATTCTGACCAACCTTGATTGACTGTATGTCAACCTTTCAGACAACCCCTGTAAATGCTCTGCTTCGAAGTATTCGGTCGATTCGTACTCATGGACGTTCGGCAGCCGGTTTGGCTTGCGGCGAGTAACGTTGCATTGCACGCTGTTAGCCGTTTGTATTCTCACTACCCTTAGTGGGCGGAAGCATGCGTGGTGCCGACATGATATTACTGGCGACGGCATTTGACCAATCTCGTTCGATTTAATGCGGTCTCTTCTTCAGCAGCAGGGACTTCAATTTCAAGAGCCTCAACGGCAGTTAGTTGAGTTGCTGTCACAAAAACTGAACCTCCAATGGGAACATTTACCGAAGCTGACATCATAGGAAATTGCATCTGCATACCACAGATTGCTGCGTTTGAGCCATGCTACAAAAATGCTTGAAATTTCAGATTCCAGAATAGAATCCCAGTTCAGTCATACAGTGTTTTTCGTGGCCAAAATCTTACTCGTGATATGCCGGACCAATCTGAGAGAGATTGCGTCTATTAAACTCATCATTAGCATGTGGCTCCCAAGTTCTGTCGCGTGCGTACTCTAACCTTGTACACAAGCTACAAATGCAAAAGGACCCGGTTGGTTGGCGCAGCAAGGTAGGAGATTTCCGCAGCATTTCACAGATAAGAGAAAACGCCCTACAGTGAAGCACAACGGTGTTCTGGTATCGCTGCAATCAGTAACGGTGCATACAATAAGGACCATTTCTCGATTGACCTAGGCTGCACTTGGCGCATCGTCAGTCTAAACTATAATTCCGATGGGTCAAACTGTCTCATTAGCATCTCGACAGCAGAAAGCAAGGATCACATGCGAACGCCGACTCAAGGATCTACACTATTTTGGGACTCTCTACTCAGCTTTATGTACCATTATTAATCTGTGCAGAATCAATAGAATTACGAAGTTAAATTTACTTAAGGGGTCACTAAGTCATCCGAATTCGGTAACGATTGTTATTGTCAGCAACAGAGGCCGTAGCTGTTTTAAATGTTAGTGTGGTTACAATTTACCTGTACGGATGAAGATGCAGTTTTGGCCGAAGCGCGCGCCACCCTGGTCACGGATCCCGGTGGACCCAGGGGGATTGCATCCACGTCGGTAGAGCTATGTTGACCCAACGTGAACTTGAATTTGTTTTCTTTGCAAAGGCAGTGAGGTGTTATAACGCGGGTAAGAAAGCTCCACCACTCTCCGTTGTTTTATGAGTTTATCTCACTCATCCCTATTCCTCCCGCCCTCTTTTACGGTTCCTCGCACACCTGTTTCTGGTGCCTCACATATGCGATTAACTTGCATGAACACTACATCTTACACTTATTAGCTTTTCTCTTAGTTTGTGTAATTCGCTGCTTCGTGAGGCACCGTATCGATACTTTGCCTTTGAACTGACCAGTCTTGCTTGACCGAATGTCAGCCTTTTCTGCATAGACTCTGCATGTGCCCTGATTCGAAGTGTTCGGTCGATACATACTCATGGACCCTCGGCGGCTGGTTTGGCGTGCGGCGAGTAACATTGTATTGTGCACTGATTGCCGTTTGTGTTCTCACAACCGTTAGTGGGCGGAAGCAGTCGTGGGGCCAACACAATACAGAACACTCCCATTGAACCGGAAGATACCGTAGGAGAAGCGTCTTCTACAGGAAACACCTATGCAATGAGAAAGTTAGATCATCCTGCACTTGAGATTTTGCGATTTTCTACGTTGTAACTTTCTAGCATGTATCATATTTGAACGGAAATGGGGGTTTTAGGATAACCCGTTCTAGTAGCAGCTGTCCTCAATATTCGAAACTCTTATCTTTGTAGACATACTCAACACCCTCCATTAAATGATACAGAAACAAACATCCTCCGTTGAACGCCGTTGGATGATCGTTATTGGTCCAAATATGGGCTGCTGTCGTACTTGAACATGTAGGCAACCACTGCCATTTTAGTCTGATTTTCCTTGACCGAAGTAAAGATGTTTTGGTGGATCTACTCAAAAAGGAAAAAGCAAAGCATGGTGCCCCGGCAAATTGTCCGGATGAAAACAGCCTACACAAGACAAATAATCATGTTCACGCAGATCACAATGGAGAAATCGATGGGAGGAATAACTTGTTAGCGCTACAAACCAAACAGGCAGCCGATCGGGTAACGGAATGGCTGGAAGAAGAAGCGAAAGAACGTCTGTGTAAGCTGCTTTTCATTTCAGATCAACAAAAGTAGGCGGCTTTCTATTCCACCTCTTTGTATATCTGTTATTTTCTACCCAGTGGCAAAATTATTCGTATGTGGAATGAGGTTTTCATTGTGTGCAAGCAGCATCAATCGCTAGGCGTGAATGTCATACAGGTTATGAGTAATCACTGAATTGCCTGCTAAGCTCTAGGTAGAAGACATTTGACTTTATCCCATCCGCTGCATAGCGAAGTGGGATCGGGACCCCTAGCAAAGCTATCGCCCCATCACCTAGATAAGCAGATTTAGAAAAAACAAAAACACCAAAGTACCGCACGATTTAATTTCGGGTCAATTTCGCTGCATTTTATCAAGTGTTAACTACAGAACAAGGGCAAATTTGTAGCCTAATAAAGAGCTAATACATTTGAGAAAACGAATTCACAAATGGGCGCACACATGTTCTTGTCAGCTCTTTCCACTGGATTACTATCAGGGTAGAGCCAGTGTGGTGAATGCGTCCTTCTGCGTACACAGAGTAGCGTCAGGCTGTTTGAACGGGACCGCTTCAAGTTATCCCAACATATGCATGTTATTTGTTGCCTAGATCTGCGGACATAATGCAGATCTGGCAAGAAATATCTTTGACTGTCTCTTGAACAACCGTTCAGAGATTGACTGGCCTACTTGGAACGGCCTGAAGCAGCACGGTGGGAAGTACAGTTTCGTAGACATGCCGACATAGGATGAGATGCAGAGGACACTTGCTCAGCTACGAAACACCAAGTGTGTCGGTGTCGATGGGATCCCGCCTGAAGTTTTGAAACACGGCGGACCTGCGTTGGTGACTGCGCTGCACCAGTTGATACAACACGTGGGGATTGAGGGGGAGATGTCACCTGAGTTGAATGATGCCCCAATGTCGAATACGCAATTCAAGCCTGGCATCCATGGCTGAAACACAACCTTAATGCACTAGAACAGCCTCAATGTCGGGCATCTAAGAACGTAATTGGAATGCGCAAGCCTTCATACCAGGAGAGGCTGCAAAAATTGGTGTTATTCAGTTGAAGCTATCGCAGACTACGAGGCGACCTGCTTATGGCATACTTGATTCTGCGAGACCCACATCATGTGTACCGCCCTTTAATGCGACTCAGCACCAATACAACCTTGAGGGGCCACTCATGGAAACTCACTGTACAGTATAGCCGCCTAGAGTGTCGCAAAATTTCTTTTCCATTCGTGTCTGTCACCCGTGGAATGCCCACCCAAAATCCGTCATCTCTGCACTGACACTAACAGTATTTAAAAGACGGTTGGATGATGCACTCATCCACTTACATTTTGTCACTTAGCACTAAGTCTCCATCCTACACGTGGAGTTTGCCATGGAATTATTTGATGTGAACTGTGGGTGCTGTGAATCTAAGCGAATCGCAAGACTACGGAAGAGCAAACGATAAGTTCTTATTTTCAAATTTGAAGGACTAACGGTTTTACTACCATTATTATCATCATTGTTATTTAGATATCCCCACCAACTGTCCAACGGGACTTGTAAAGCAACGCCTCTTGACCCGTATAAATTCCTTGTTCCATTTTCATTGGGTTACCATTATACAAGGGCAAAGGAAGCAAGAAATGTTGCACGAATTATCTTGGCATCAACTTGTTGATTCGTGTGAGCAAGGTTATTGCCCGAATCCTGCTCTACCGCTTCGTCAGTCTGGTTGTGGAACCGAATGAGGCGGAAAAGCAATGGGTATTCCGTACGGGTCGCAGCACCATCGATATGTTGTTTGCGATTCGACAGTTGCAGGAAAATTGCAGTGAATGACTCCAGCCGTTGTACTCGCTTTTTGTTGATTTCACCAAGGCATTTGATACGCTGAACTGCGAGGCGATGTGGCTGGTGTTCGCTAGGCTTGGTTGTCCACGTAAGAATGTAAGTTTTTGTTGAATGTATACACTGTGGTATACGGGCGAGAGTACAGCTGAGTGGACTGACCTCGGATGACTTTGCAGTTATCTCTGGTGTAAAGCAAGGCTGTGTCTTAGCCCCTGCCCTGTTTAATATTTATCTACATGCCATGATGTCGTATGCGGTTGATGCGGCTTGTGCTTACGGTGCACGTGTGTAGCATCGTATTGATGGTGGTTTCCTGAACATCCGTCGTTTCGGTGCGAGAACCCTAGTCTGTCAGATAGCTATCCATCTGGTGCTGTTCGCTGACGACTGTGTGTCGTTTGCACACAACGCGGATAAGTTACACTACATGACCAGTGCTTTGGCTTCGACAGCGGCCAAATTCGGTCTCTCTATCAACACACGCAGCTGAGCAAGTGATCTCTGCGTCTCATCCAGTGTCGGTGTGTTTTTCAGACTCGCCTTCACATCGTACTGCTTAAGGTCGTTCAAAGTAAGCCAGTAGATCTCTGAACGGCTGTTCAAGAGACAGTCAAAGTGTTTTCGCCAGATCTGCATTATGTCTGCAGTCTGTGTGCAGGTAGCGTCTGAGCTACCATCAATCATTGTCCTCAGCGGCTCCAATCTCGGTCCATACAACGCCTTTATGGAGTCAAAGATTTCCTTGTGCTGCCGGCGTTCGGCGTAGCATTCCAACTGCTTTGTCTTCTCCGTCCACCATGCATTTTTAATGCGACGGAGCTCTCGGGTCAGTAGCCGTCGAATGTTGCGATACTGAATCTTCTTCCCCAAGTCACTGAGGTCTGCGACATGTGCAGTAAAGGATTCATTCTTCTCACACACCAATGCGCCAATCGTCGCATGGTTCTCATCAAACCAATCAGGCCGCTTAGAGTTTGCGCGCCGGATGGTCTCCTCGGCAGCAGCTGTCACCTGGTCGTGAATGTGGTGCCACAGATCGCCCACTGTGGCTATGCATTCCACATCACACAGGCGTGCAGCCATCGCCTTCTCCAGCTCAATACGTTTCGCCACAGTACCGAGGGAGAGAATGTTAAATTTACGCCTCCGATTCACGGCGGGAGCGCAATACGTAGATTTGCAAAAATATATGTACAGTTTTGTCCGCACCAATTTGCGGTCAGTGCCACACTCAGGTGCATGCAGTACACGTGTCATGCGCACTGCACACATGTGACGCTGACGTACGAGCAGGTGAGCGTGACGACACCGTGGGTGCGTCCAAGTTGCTATATCACTCGCACTCAGCACAAACCGGGTGTTCGTGATCGTCAGGCCGTGAGTCGCACACAGTGAGAGCAGCCTGTATCCGATCGCAATCGCTGAACCAATTCCATACGGACCGATGACATCTCTCCACATCGATGCGTCAGGCTCAACCCGCACGTTGAAATCACGCAGCAGAAATGGTTGGTTGCTCCTTGGCACAGACCGTATAATGGAGGATAGCTGAGTGTAGAAGTGTTCACGTGTGTTATGAGGATAACGCAGGGTACGTGCTTATAAAGGTGACAAACTTACCTCTTCCGAGCTGGAAGCTACCGGTCATCAGTCGCGCGCTGATGCCTGTTGGTGCACCCACCAGCTGGCCATTTAGCCTATCAATAACCATGGTAACCTGGTGCTGAGGCGGCGTTGCCCACCCATTAGAACGTGTAGCCAGCACATGCTTTATGCAACTTACCTTGCCCAGCGAGTCTAGTCTGACTGAGCGTCGCACTAGGGCTGTTGTAACGCACCAGTTCCATCGCGACGAGTGCAGTGCGTCGCTCGGGGCGCTCACTGGAGTTCTGGTCCAGTAGCGTGCGCACATTCCTGAACCCGATGCTGAGTGCTTTGCGCGCATTGGTGTTTAATCGCACTCGAGGTGGCGGTTGTGCTTCGGAGGTTTGCTTGAGGGACGCCACCCGGAGCCTTTGGCTCAATAGCCGGAGCCACAAAGCAGTGGGGAGCAGATCCAGCTCGGGAATGTGATTGCAGAGTTAAATTGGGATCTGCTTGACGGCCATCACACGCAGCTTTCGAGGTACTGGTACGATTCATCTATGTTTTGCGATCGGAGTAAATAACGTACCTGCGTCCACGGCCAGACGCAGGAGGGTTTTGGCGGGTTTGCACCAATTTGACCTGGGGCTGCCTGGCTTGAAGCGAGCAGTAGCAAACCATTGCACACCTGGAGGTGCGCTCCCACCGTCAGACGATGCGCGGCGCTCGTGCTGTACGCCAATCGTGCTGTGAGCTTCTAACCTGTAGGAATGTTGTCTCCCATGGATAGGTTTGACGGGAAGTGGGCCATCGGCTACTTCCTAACCTCCGAAGAGGATGGACTAGGATACTGTCAGGGCGCCCACACCTGACGGAAGAACGACTCGTGTCCTCATCCAAAGCCTACGATTAAATGTACACACGAAAGGCAGCTGGTCTGGCACATGGTCAGTTCACTGTCTCATGTGGATTGGTGTCCTGGATCTTAGCAGGGAGGAGAGCGTAACCCAACTCCCACCCAGCGGTCGCCACAAGTAGGCGTCCAAGGCATGGGCCCTTGGCACAAAAGTAGCTAGAGTGGGTAGACCGTCTGTCAGGATCTAGCCACCCCGAGCATCAGCGGACCATAAGCCCTCTCGCTTCTCTCTCTCTATCTCTCTCTCTCTCTCTCTCTCTCTCTCTGTATATATATATATATATATATATATATATATATGGTGCCCTATGCGGAGGCTGATATTCCATTCATGATGTTTCTTCGCCGCAGTTGGGCTAAGCCAATTGACACTTAAACTAGTCTTTTTAAGCTGGACAAATTTCAGTCCACTTTATTTGGTTTGTTCTGCCTACCTGAATAGTCTTCTATTAACTGGCCACTTTGCTTATGCTGATTGAGCTTACTTTCGATAACTTTGTTGCGTTTGTAACATTTTTAAGTAACCTGTGGACATTTTTTACTTATCGCGGATTCGTTGCTAACTAACTTATTTCATAGGCTAATTTAGCGAAGAGTTATGCCACCGTAGCTGTATGCCCTATTCGATTTATTTTATATCATATTCTCGTTACAAGTGATT